GTATTATAATGTTTGCCTTTAATAATATTAAAGCAATCGTTATAATACTTTTTTGTATACATTTTAATTCCTTTGTTTAAAAGTTCTATCTGATTATTAGATGGACTTCTATCCGTATTAGACAGAACTGAATGACAACAGCGAACAAGAGAGAGAATGTGAGCACTGTGTGCTCAGGCGCTGCCGCATCCGTTCTCGGCGCCGTCAAAATAAAAGTCCCTCCTCGAACACATCGGCCAAACAGAAAAACTTTTCTTTCTATTTATTTGAAAAATTAATAGGCGATATATCGGTCGACCACTAATCAGTTTGAGGGTGACACACACACTGGTGCCAACTCTCACTTCTCCTTCTAGCCATTACTACAACAATGGCTTTCAGAAGCGACTCCTTGAAAAGCCACAATCAATGGCACACGCCAATTCACAAATCCCCACCATTATGACATCACTCATCTGGATCTGAATTCAAAGAACAAAATGGAGGACAAAACGCTATTAAACGACATCAGTCGCACAAAGAAGTCAGATATGGTCACAGATACTTACTCCAGTAACATTCATACAACGTTAAATGAACATTCCCGCTATTTTAAAGCGTACATAGCTGGATGCCTTTTGGACGTGTGGGGTTAATTCCGTAATCCCTGCATTTAACTTGGTGCGTCGGGTCTTAATACTCCAATTTAGGAGCATATGGGTTTGAAAATTTCACCAATATTGTTAGATGACCTTGAAAAAAATGGTCAGGTGGGCTTGCAGGAATCAAAAGGCTGCATGTACGGCTACACCGAGGTGGACAATTCAAGTCATGAGGCGTTCAGGCTGGTCAGAGTAAACACTTTCTGTGTCAAGTCTGGTGAGAAGTCATTGCTAAGGAGTCACAGCGCCGTGGCAACAAAGTAGTGCCGACTACAACCGGGCCCACATTTTCACATGCTCCTTGTCAGCCATTCATTATCAGATAGAAAAGGAACCGTTCAGTTCACTACCGCAGCTCAAACACCTGAAAAATGCGATGGATATATTGTTGGATGAGATTTTTTTTTCCAACAATTGGCCCAACGCAAAAGGGTCCAGATGTTAAGTCAACGTGACACATGACATTTTACAAACTAAACTAACCTTGACCTGTCAACAAAAGGTCAAATTATGTTAATTTTGTGATATTATGCAAGATTAAAGACTTACTTCTTTTTCAAGAAAAAATAAATTCTTGAAAATAAAACCTTTTTCTTCATTATGAAATTTGTTTACTTTATGCCCGGTTTAAAAAAAAAAAAAAAAAGATTTTTGATTCAGAAATAAAAGCATGCTCAGTATGAAACAGGTGTAGTCAAGTCATGGGATGTATGAATAGCATTTTAAACATATTTTAGAATAAATTAAAATAACAAAAAAATGAGTGTCACATCACCTCACATGTTCAAGTTAAGTTATTCAGAAGGAAAAAAATTTTCTTCAACAAACTGCTCCACCTCCAAAACAACTTTCCTTTCTATATGACATCACCAAGTCCACTTTACACAATCCAATCAAGTGTCACCCTACATTTTCATACAAAAATATGGCATTTTTAGATGTAAAATGAGTTGTGGATGCCATTTATGTTGATTTTATAAAGGCCAATCGAATGTACAAATGAATTCTGTAAAGCAAACCAAATCATGTTGCTCAGTGGCATCTCATTCCCTTCTATTTCCCGCCATACAGCATTAATCAAGGGCGCCTAATCAAAATATCTGTCATATTAGCTCATTAATCAGCAACAGCCTGCAAGAAACTTACCATGAGATGAGTTATTGCATTCAAACCAGTCTAGAAATATAACAGTCTAAACCCCACTTTTAATCACTTACCCGGGTTAGTTAGGCTGATGAGGAAGCGACTCGCTATGTGTAACTCAATCCATAAATGAGTTCATAAGCAGTGATACAGACTCTCTCTACTTTGGCTAAAACAGTGTTTCTCAACCCTGGTCCTGGGCGCCCCCCAGCACTGCACATTTTGTGTGTCTCCCTAATCAAACACACCTGATTCAACTCATTAGCTAAATAAAAGAAACTCCAGGACCTGAAATGGGTGTCAGATAAGGGAGACATACAAAATGTGCAGTGTTGGGGGGCGCTCAGGACCAGGGTTGAGAAACATTGGGCTAAAAGATCAAGGTAGTGCGCAACACACACCTCTGATTCGCTGCAGGGAAAACATCTTGCACAATGCAAATGCATGTCATTACAGATTTACACCTTGGGTTTTTGGCAAAAGTCTTGCTGTTCTTACAAAAAAAAAAATCAGCTTGTATTCTTCAAAAAGTGTGATTGTAGTGTTAGTTAACATGAATTTTGGCACTCCATTGGCAAAATTATGAGAGTTCATCAGAAAAGATTAATAGAACCTGAGAGATGTCAACATAAACATGAATTTGGCACTTACATCTCATAATTTCATGCCTTGTTGCAAAGTACAGGGTAATAAACAACTATAAACGGTTAGTAAAATAATGCACCAGAAAAGGAGTTTCTGGGACTGAAGTTGCATATATTAATACACAATTCGCCAACTGTTAAATGTCACAGCCGCACAACATCTACATTGTTTCGATTTGCAAACACAGTCATGCACTGCCAAATCACACATTACTGGATTTTAAGGTAAAAAAAAAACCGTGTGGTTCAGAAACATAAAAGGGTGATGTAATAAAATGTATGATAAATATTTAATCTTCGCGATAAGTTTTAGCATACACACACTTTGCAAGGATGCCTCTCCTGCCAATGCTAAGCTCAAGCCAGCTAACGTAACAACATCAACACAGCGCCAACAAACCGCTCGATTTTCACTCACCGAGTGCCTGGATTGTGGAAACATCATGTCAGTTTTGGTCTTCGGGGTCTTGCCTTCTCCTCCTCAAAAAACAAGGAAGCAGTTTGCTCAGCAGACGGTTATATTTGTGTGTGTTTTCTTTGTTTCGTCGCTAGCTGAAGCTCCTGTACTAGCTACAGGCAGCTCGCGCCGCTGCTATGGCAATAAAGCAGCCTGATGTGTGCCGCACTGAACGCGCTCTTTAACACGCATTCGGCGTGGAAAAATGATCCGTAGATGATTTGTTGGAATCTGTCGGATTGATATGGTGTCTTTCCTGTCCCTTTTCCACGTTGAGAATGAGCTCAGATAAGGGCTGGCGTATCTCTCCTCCCTGGTTGGAGGAAATCGAGTGGCTGTGCAAGAGACGAAGTGGAGTTTGGGAGCTGATGGCTGCTGCTGCTGTTTTTCTTTTTTCTTTCTTTTTTTTGTATGTATGCATATATATATATAAATATATACTTACGCTAATTATTAGATTATAATTACACTAATAAATATTACAGAATATTCTGTTTGCTGGTGCTGGTTTGATGTATATTCAAAATATTTTATCTAAATTTTATCTCTCTCTCTCTCTCTATATATATATATAGTGTTTCCCATTCATTAACTAGACTGTGGCGACCCGCCACAGTTTCATAATAAACCGAAGATATATTTACACTTCTCATATAACATAAAAGTTCTTTAACGTTGTGTTTCACGCCATTGCTTTGGCAAGTATCCTCAAACGAATTAAAAACGAAAGCGTAATATGACTTATCAAGTCTGATTGCGCTGCTTGTTTCAAAGTGAAGCGCACGCGATCAGCTCGTGACTCCCCCCTTTTTGAAATTAGGACAAAAGTATTGCAATTTCCCTACGGTCGCGTAAGGTAAAATAATATACCTGAAAAAAAAATCATTTATATTTATTTCACAGTGCAATTGTGTTACAATATATGGCTATTACTGTCATAGGAATAATAATATAAAATTATTATTATTATTTTATTCTAATTAGTTTGGCTTCCAAATTCACCAGTGAGACTGAGACACTATATCACAACTAAAAAGAGGATCGAGTCCCCTTTAAATTTCAAGAACAAGTACCGGTACATTCACCAGTTTTTTTCTTTTACTTTGCACACTGAACCTGTGTTAGAGCTCTTCATTTTGAACTCTCAAAGTGCACCAGATTTATGAATTTAACTTTAAAATGTACAAAATGTTCTTATATATATATATATAT